CTCGTTCACTCGGATGTGTTTGGTCCAGTGAAGCAGTCGTCTGTTAGCGGATTCAAGTATATGATCACTTTCATCGACGACTTCTCAAGGTATGTCTGGGTTGTTTTCATGAGGGAAAAATCCGAGGCGTTTATTAAATTTAAAGTGTTTAAGGAGAAGGTTGAAAGTGAAGTAGGCAGAAAAATCCATTGCCTACGCACCGATAACGGGGGAGAATACACTTCCTACGAGTTCACGAAATATTTGCAAGAGTGCAAGATACGTCGACAGTATACTTGTCCGTATACGCCGCAGCAGAACGGTGTTGCCGAAAGAAAGAATCGGCACCTAGCTGAGACATGCAGGAGCATGTTGCACGCGAAGAATGTTCCACCGAGGTTTTGGGCCGAATGTATGAAGACGACGGCTCACGTGATTAACAGGCTGCCACAAGCAAGGCTTGGTTTTATGTCACCATACGAGAAGCTATGGAATCGCAAGCCTGTGGTAAGTCACTTTAGAGTTTTCGGATGCGTATGTTATGCATTTGTGCCTGATCATCTTCGCAGCAAATTCGACAAGAAGGCGGTTCGCTGCATATTCGTGGGATATGATGATCAACGAAAGGGGTGGAAGTGCTGCGACCCTACAACAGGGAGGTGCTATACTTCAAGGAATGTGGTGTTCGACGAATTGTCGTCTTGGTGGTCACCTCAAGCTGTTGAATTGCCAAATTCACAGCATTTCGACGAAGAGGTTGAAGAAAGGCTAAAAGAATTCGATGAGAATCAGCCTGTTGAAAAAGATGTCGACACACAGTCACCAAGATCGACAAGTTCATTTGATGAGCGTCCAAGGTCGACAGAAGAACTTCGACCAAGTCAGGTCGAAGAACTTGAAGAGGAGGAGCCTCAACTTCGGAGATCAACGAGGCAAAGGAAGCCAAACCCCAAGTATGCCAATGCGGCATTAACCGTAGATGTTGGCATGGTCGAGCCTTCGACATATGAAGAAGCCTCGAAAGGAACAGAATGGAGGAAGGCCATGGAAGAAGAAATCCTCGCACTAAAGAAGAATGAGACGTGGGACTTGGTACCGAAACCTGAAAATGTACGTCCTATTTCCTGCAAATGGGTTTATAAACTTAAAACTCGACCAGACGGGTCGATTGAGAGGTATAAAGCACGTCTAGTGGCTCGAGGTTTTTCGCAAAAATATGGGGTTGATTATGAAGAGACCTTTAGCCCGGTAGCAAAGGTTACCACAGTTCGAGTTCTATTAGCACTTGCAGCAAGCAAGTCGTGGAATGTGTGGCAGATGGATGTGAAGAATGCTTTCCTGCATGGAGAACTTGAGCGAGAGATATACATGGAGCAGCCGGATGGTTTCAAGAGCAAAACTTATCCAGAATATGTCTGCAAGCTAAAGAAAGCGTTGTATGGCTTAAAGCAAGCCCCGAGAGCGTGGTATGGAAAGATTGCAGAATTCTTGTTGAAGAGCGGTTATAATGTAGCTCCAGCAGACTCGAGCCTGTTCGTGAAGGCAGAAGATGGAAAGGTTGCAGCTGTGCTGGTTTATGTGGATGATCTCATCATTACTGGAGATGATGAAGATGGGATATGTCAAATTAGAGCCAACCTCTCTGTGCGGTTCCAGATGAAGGAGCTTGGAGAGCTGAAACACTTTCTGGGGCTCGAGGTTGATAGGACAAAAGAAGAATTATTCCTATGTCAACAGAAGTATGCACGAGATCTCTTGAAAAAATTCGGGATGCTCGATTGCAAACCTATATCTACTCCGTTGGATGGGAACGCAAAGCTATGTGCTGAAGAAGGTCGAGAGCTAGAAGATTCGTCTATGTATAGGCAACTGGTAGGTAGTCTAATCTACCTTACCATAACTCGGCCTGACATCGCTTTTGCAGTGGGAGTAGTGAGTCGATTCATGGAGAAGCCAAGGAAGCCTCACTTGGATGCAGCCAAGCGTATCTTGAGGTATGTAAAGAAGACTTTTGATTTTGGGCTTTTGTATAAAAAAGAATCATCAGGTGAGTTGGTCGGTCATTGTGATGCCGACTATGCTGGAGATCAACACACACGGCGATCAACTACTGGATACTCGTTTCATCTTGGATCAGCAGTAGTATCCTGGTGCAGTAAAAGACAGCCGACTGTGTCTTTGTCTACAACAGAAGCTGAATACAGAGCAGCAGCAATGGCAGCTCAGGAGAGCACGTGGCTAGTGCAGTTATTAGATGATCTTCATCAGTCGATAGATTATTCGACAATATTGTATTGTGATAATCTATCCGCTATAAGCTTGGCAGAGAATCCAGTTTTCCATGCTAGGACTAAGCATGTGGAAGTCCACTATCACTTTCTGCGAGAGAAAGTGTTGGAGGGCGAGATCAAGATGGAGTACACTAAGACAGGTGATCAAGTTGCTGATATCTTCACCAAAGGTCTTGGAGCTGCAAAGTTTGAAGAGTTTCGAGCTCAGCTTGGTATGGTCGCTAGAACTATCCCTAGAGAGAGTAGTCGGTGAGGGGGAGTATTGAAGATATCACCGCCTTATCTCTCTAGATCTTTCGTGATTAGTCTTGACCTTTCGTATTTCAATGACTAGTTAATGTGATTGTTTGTATTTGGTCTTGACCTTTCGTATTTCAATGACTAGTTAATGTGATGTTTGTATTTGGTCTTGACCTTTCGTGTTTCGATATCTAGTTAATATCAGATACATGTATAGTCATTTATGAGTCATATCAAGAGTCATGTATTATGCCTATATAAAGGCAAGTCCAGTTGAAGTATTTGTAAGGTGAATCAAGTCATAATAAAATAGTTTATTCCTCTCCTCTCCTTGTGTGTTTTTCTTCGAGAGTTGTCGACGAGAGTTATCGACGATCGAGGCATTCACCTTCAAGAGTTGTCGATGAGAGTTATTGACGATCGAGGCTTTCACTTTTGAGTGTTACGCCTTTAAAACTCAACAGCATCCGGCCGTAAATCGTTTCGTCGTTTGAAGCTTCCACGCCTTTCACAGCTTGGCTATGTCTGTTAAAAGGAAGGATGTGTCGAGTAAAACAATCATTATCGCAGAATAAGGCATCAAACATGTTCTTTTGTGTGGAAATCAAGTGAGTGCCTTGACATGATTGGTTTGACTCACGTTTTCACACGAACAAGTCATCTAGAAACAGGCCAGATCTTTCCATCCAATGCCAACGTTGTCAGAATAAAAAGCCCGAGGCACCCTGATCTAACAGCGTTTAGCATCGAACTTCTGTCAATTGGATTCTGCGATGGCATGCAGTGTTCTTGAACGACCATCGTTGTCCTTCCGCAATGACAAATGAATTTCACAAACACCCAGATGAACAAATTTGAATCATGTCAATCCATCATGTGCAACTCATTGCTAAGAGGACAACGCGAGGGCTGTACAGGAAGAGGTTCTCTGTCATTTTCCTACCTCGTTCGTATGGTTAGGTCAATCGAAAAGGGGAAGAAATCGAGCCTCAAGTTCAACGGACGGGTTCCTGGCTTTTCCCTCTTCTAAGGCAAATAAAGAACTATAGTTCACATTCTCGTCCACAGAAGTCAAGATAGAAACTTCAAACTTGGGCTTCAAGGAGAGAGAAAGCTCCATTGCCACGATGTGATGCTTCTTCTGCATTAACAAGAAAAAATCCCACACGCATCCCACACGGGCGCTGGACTAATAGACCTCATGGAATAGAACCTTCCTTTCCAGAGATCGCAGTAAGTAGTAGAAAAGTGCTGGGGAGTCTACTACGAGATGGTGATTTGGGGAGAAAATAACTTTAAAAAAGATGAAAATTACTGAGTATACTGTTGATGCTGTGACGTGATATCGCAAAACTAATTTTGTTTGCTTTGAATCATCCTTTAAATATCATTTTTCTAAGATTTTGCAGCTCAACAAAGTATGTAAAACCTTTATGATATAAATATCCATGTGTGGATTACGGCTATCATTTTCCATAATCATTTAAAATTAAAGTATCTCTAATGTTAATATTTTAATCAGAAAAGTAGAATTCTTTCAATCCCAAAGGTACAAGTCTTCCAACCTTTTTGTCTCCTTCCAAATCGAGGGTTTCGCAGAAGAAAGCCAAGAAGGTGAGGCCAATTTCCTTGATTGGATTTGCATTAAACGTACGATGTCACGTCACCTCGCTCTCCATTGGGAAAGATAAGTCATCAATCCCACGAGGTTCTTCAGTTGACTGACGGAAGGAGACACAGAGATGTCTTATTGGCTGTGTGTAGACTCGAAGAGTACATTGAAAAGTCCAAAATGGCAACCCACTAGTAGCAGCTTTTAAGAAGCTCCTCGCTTGAAGAAATTCTGGCAAGATGTGCTCAAGATGACAACCACTAAAAGCTTTGGAAAAGCTAAGGAATTGCGTCGTCGTCGTTGAAGAAGTAAAGAAGTAATTTTCTTTCCAAAAATACCATCATATGTAATATTCTATAATTGACGTAGAGAAGCAAGTTAACCATTTTCAAATCTCGATATTCTCATCGATGACACATGACGCAACTATTTGATAAAATACCTTTTGGGTTTTTTTCTTTAGGTTCTACGACTTTTGATTCTTTAGCTTACATTTCAGATCAAGTTATCGGAGATCCATTTTGTGTCCATTGATCATTTCCTTGTTAATGATTCGTTTGACACTATAATATCGTGCATTTTATGAATATGACTGTTGTTTTTTTGTATTCTAAAAACAAAACTGGCTCGAATTTAATTACTAGAAGAATTTTCTAACTTAGTACAGGAGCGATCATTTAACAGGGATCGATTATTCCACGTGAATACTTGCTTCCTTACTCTTGCTCGGACACTGTTCAATTATGTTATGTAGGACCTAACAGAGCCCACCGAGAAATTGCTCACTCATTACCTGTTGAACGGGAGTTTCCCCTGGTTTCCTGGTATGTGCTGTCCGTACGTAAGCATTAGGACAAGCGACCTCTTTATAACTTCGAGCCATATCCCCCTCAAATGCCACCTCCCCACGAAACCCTCATTGCAGAAACTCCCCACTTTACTTCGTTTCCGTTTCTTAGAGAGTTCCCATGTCTCGCTTTCTGTTTCTCTCTCTCTTTGTCTGCTCTCGGTAGCTAGCTATCTCCACTCCAGACACTCCTGAGTTTGGTCCCTTTCCATTTTTTGTTGGAGGAGCCGTCCTCGTCGTCTGACTTAACACGCCTCGATAACCGCAACTGATCATATTAAACTTGCCGAGTTTGGAGTCCCGGTGATCATGCCGAGCGCTCGCGGGGTTGCATCTGAACAGGCAACGCCGGTGCTTGAAGACAAGATTTATGTTGCGGTCGGGAAGGATATGAAAGAGAGCCAATCGAAGCTTGTTTGGACGGTGCATCAATTAGGAGGCAACTTCAAGATCTGTATCATTCATGTTCTAGTTCCTTCACGGAGGATCCCTATGGGTAAGTCAACGTTTTTCTTCTGTTGTCTTTACATATTTCCCTCCACCGATTTTAGCTATCGTTTTTTGCTATAAGAGTTTCTATTGATCGTAAAAATAAGAACTTACCATGCTCGCATGGATATAATACACGGATCTTCCATGATGGACAATGGTTGCGCAATAAATTAAGCTCCCCTTTCAGGGTTTCGCGATTTAGGACCATATTGGATATCTTATTGCTTTTACCTGTTCGATTATTGTCGAGTTTTATTCATTTTGCGGTGTTCTTTCTTGCAGCGAATTAAAATAATTGTGCTGTTAATTTGCCTTTGGTTTGCAGGAGGCCTGGGTGCAGGAATCCCCGCGAGCTCGGCGAACGAGATTGTGTTGAGAGAACACAGAGAAAACGAGAGGTTAAACATGCATAAAATCTTGGATAACGGCCTCCTTGTTTGTAAAGAAATGGGGGTATATTTACTTTCTTCTTCTTCTTCTTCTTCTTCTTATGATGTTGAGAGCACACAGAGAAAACGAGAGTATAAACATGCATAAAATCTTGGATAACTACCTGCTCGTTTGTAAACAAATGGGGGTATACTTACTTCTCCTCCTTCTCCTCCTCTTGTTCTTCTAGATGATTAATTGTCCTGGTCAATGACTTCTTAACAAAGTGATAGTGAATCAAACAAATGTTAATCATTGTTGACCCTTGATATATATAGTTCTTGCGTGGCACAGGTTTACATGACAATATATGCTTCTTCATTTAGAGAGGAGGATAATAACGAAGCAAATTTATTGATTAATAGGTACGAGCAGAGAAAGAGTTCATAAAATCAGACAGCATTGAAAAGGGAATTGTGGAGCTCATACATTTGCATGGGATCAGAAAACTTGTAATGGGTGCAGCAGCAGACAAGTGCTATTTCAAGTACGTACAAGAACAAGAAGACACGCCCACATGGGTCGTGGACTTATTCATTCCACATCTATCCTCTTCATGATTGAAAGGACATGCTTGTTTGGATCTTTAATTGCGACATTAGAGCCAATGCTTATTTCATTATTAATCCTCAAAGATGTGCTGTACATGTATGATCTTTCAGGAAAATCTGGTAGCGCTTCTCGAACACATTGTCCTAATTCGCTCTGAGTCCATCACTATACATCATGTATCATGAATCAGTCTTATTTTCCTACCGAGTGGAAAAAAAAGATGATAAAAACTGGTGACATATCGTTTCAAGAATCGAATAGTCTCGTGTTGTGTCTACAAGTTTATGTTTCGTATTATCTGCATTACACCAAATTAATTCATTGTCTTCTCTGGTTTCAATTGGCAGGAGGATGACAGAAATCAAGTCCAGGAAAGCCGTCTTTGTTCGCGATAAAGCGCACCTCTCTTGTCAAATTTGGTTTATTTGCGACAGGCACCTCATTCGCACAAGGTTATCCTCCCACTTTTTTACTTGTCTCCTTCAAAACAATCGAATGCCCACGAGATGGTGTTAGTGAAAAAAAAATTTCTACATAAATAAATCTTGTTGCGATAGTTGACTGCCATAACAGACATAGAATTTTAGGTTGCGATGAGGCTAGGACAAACAATTTTGTTCCTTTTTTGCATTATACGTTCTTTCTTTGAATGATATGGCCAAATCCTTGGGAAATTTTGAGCTGGGGACCGATGGCAAATCAGTTTCAAGGTACAAGTAGGAACGTTTATGGGCTCGGAGTCTTGTACGGACGATCAATTTTATATAGTGTTGTGACAATTTTGGCTTCACCATAAACTTGTTTTCATTCCTTGTCAATATAGGGAAGCTCGGACGGTTCAAGCGGTTGCAGGAGTTCCTACTAATGTGCCATTCCCGACGACTCCAACCCCTGGACCAGGAAAGTCGATTCTCTCGAAATCGCAATCCTCTACACTGCCAAGGACGGCAAAGTTAAGTAATCCATTCCAAGACATTCTGAGAAGAGCATTCTCTTCGAAAATCGACCAAGGTGCAGTGATGCCTATGGCTTCTTCCTCTGATAGCTCTCCAGAGCATCCTAATGCGGCGAGCACTCTGGAGACACAAGATACTTTCCAAGAACTCAAACCAGTTTCAACGAGTCGTTCTGATCTTCCACAGTTGATTCAGCCGGTCTATTATACCTGCCAGCCATCAATTTCCAACTCTCTGGTATGTGCACAATAACTAACGCATGGTCTTTTTCATGTTCTCTAGCCGGGAAGCCATGTCTCTAGCTTTGCTTGTCCTATTTTATAGCCAAGAATATATTATTCTTTGTCATTAAAAGGAATATTTCAACTTTAGCTAATTGTAACTGGATATAAATGAAAACAATTCTCGAGAAATGCTTGAGGAGGGAGTGACGACTTGTGCTGAAGCAGAAGTACATATCATTGAAGGCAGGCGAAAGGATCCCAGGAAGGTCTAATGTCAATATAAAAACTGGACGGCTTTGCTATATATCGACCTAGACCCCTGATTTATGTAAATTGCCGCTATTAAAAATGGAGTATTTCTACTGATTTTGCTTAAGTCTGATTGTTGAGGACCATCCCGAACTCCATGGAAACATTTCATCGCAAATTGTAACACACAAATAGCAAGCATGACATATAGTTAACATGAGGATGAAAGATGATTTATTGACTCGAGGGCAAAAAAAAAACAGAGATGATCTATTGAGTATAGTATTATGGGTAAATTTTCAGTTGGAGGAAGAACTTGAGAAGGTGAAGGATCAGCTAGACAAAGTGATGGAAGAACTTCGCAGTGCCCAGGAACAGAAATTGCAGCTCGAGAGCCAATTCGCCGAGACCAACCAGAGCAGAAAGGAGTTGGAGCTGAAAATCATTGCGAGCGATGAAATGTTGCAGACTTTTAAAAAAGAGCGAGAGCTGTTGCAGATCGACCTCGAGAACGCGCTCCAAAAGGCCGAGGAGGTAAGCGGAAGAAAAGGAGATTCTTCGGGCACAAAGTACTTCTCCGAGTTCTCCATGACCGAAATCGCAGAAGCTGTGCAGAACTTCCACCTGTCCTTAAAGATCGGAGAAGGTGGTTGCGGGAGCGTGTATAAAGGTTTCCTTCGACACACGTGGGTTGCTATAAAGATCATGAAATTTCCTAGCATGCAAGGTTCACAAGAATTTCAACAGGAGGTAACAATTCTCGAGTTTCCTCTACTTGTTTTCATGTTTTCTCCAAACCAAAATTAAGAAAAATAAAAATATATAAAGACTTGGTTCATCACGAAGTAAATTTGTTTTCCACAATAATATCACTATGGCATGACGAATTCACTGTAAGAGTACAGTACTCACAGTGATCGAGCATATCATCGTTGATCATCGAACTCTTGATTGAATGTCTCCCAGGTGGATGTGTTGAGCAAGGTGAGGCATCCTAATCTCATCACGCTTATCGGCGCTTGTCCCGAGCCCTGCACTCTTGTTTACGAATATATACCAAACGGAAGCCTCGAAGACTGGCTCCGCAACAGCAACAGGGCGAAGCAGCTGCCGTGGCGAGCCCGAATACGCATTGCCATGGAGCTCCGCTCCGTCCTGGCCTTCCTCCACTCTTGCAAGCCTCACAGCATCGTCCACGGGGACGTCAAACCAGGGAACATTCTACTGGACGCGCACCTTGTGAGCAAGCTCAGCGATTTCGGCATTTGCCGACTGCTATCCAGCGGCGATCGGTCGAGCAACAACACCACTGTCGTGTACCCGACCGACCCGAAAGGGACGTTCGGGTACATGGACCCCGAGTTCCTCGTCACACAAGAGCTCACGACAAAGTTCGATGTCTACTCTTTCGGGATTATACTGCTGCAGTTATTGACAAGGAGGCCCGCCTTCAGAATAGCGAAGGAAGTGCAAAGGGCAATTAACGCAGGGACTTTGGAGGCCATCTTGGATCCATTGGCTGGAGAGTGGCCCTATAAGCTGGCCAAGGAGTTGACTGATTTGGCTTTGAGGTGCTGCGAGATGAGCAGAAGGAATAGGCCGGATCTCCGATCAGACGAGTGGACGGTGTTCGAATCGGTCGGAGCTTCCTATCGATAAACCTAGACTTGTGAATACTCAGGAATTGAGCGATATACACGTTCGGATATGTACTTTGAACTTCAAATAAATTGACTTTCCGGGTCATGCGTGGCGGTCATCGGCAAGTACGGGCCGGATTGTGTGTATTGTACATACATACATAGGTTTTTTGCTCTGTCATGTATTGAGTTATCTTGTCGAAAGTTCTTCCTTGATGTACCCACCATTGTTCTTATGAATAGATTTCTTCGTGTGCATTAAGTACATGGACAGTGAGATGGGATTGCTTAATTATATATGCAGAATCAGATCCACATATAGAGCAGCAAGCAAATCCAATGCCTTGTTATGCTGTTCAGTCCTACTAAATCCGCTTCACTTCAACGAACAATTTCTCATGGAATTTATCGGCCGATTATGCAGCATATTTCCTGACAAGCCAGTATGAAATGACCAAAAAGCTGGTCATTTCAATTGGTCTAGTTGTGGATTGGTTAAGTTCTTATTTGCGCTGATCGTGTCGGCCCCATTATTGCATGCACCAGCTGCATTTAAACCCGAAGTTTGAAAATTGTGCGAGATCGGCCAGATTTACGGATCTCCAAATGTGCTTGTGTTGACACGCGAGAATTTTCAATACTTTAGAACTGGGGATGAATGATGATTGGAGTCTTCATAAGGCCTTGAGCTTCGTTTTTTCACCTGCTTCTCATCGCTTATCCTTACTTAGTAACATCAAAAGGTATCTGCATAACATGAACGGATGAACCAAATCGTCTATGGAAATTCGGTGTAACAAAAAAAAAGAAGAAAACCTTTGTGTTTACACAACCCACTCATCAATCATTGAATAAAAATAGACAGTCAACGTTAGAAACTATATACTGTATATATCAACGATGATACAGGTGGCTGTGATTTATACAGTCTGTCTACCAATGATGGATCGAACGATATTTACGCTTGGCGAGGTCACCGTGGCCTAGGTGAGGGCTGGCCTCGCCAGATCTGGCCTAGGTAAGGCCGACCCTCGCCGGGCCTTGCCTGCCCTTGCTAAGGCTCGCCCATGCAAGGGTCAGCCGGGCCTCGCCTGTGGCGGGCTACGGCGGCCTCATCTGGGCAACGACAACCTTGCCTCGCCTAGGAGAGGCCAGGCGGCTAGCCATGGTTGGTGGCTAGTGTCTGGTGTCCGGTCACAGGCTAAAGGTAGAAGAAAGCAGAGGAAAAAAAGAAAAAATATTTAAAAAATTAAAATTTATCTACATCAGCGTTGGCGGTACCACGTAGGCCGGCCAACATTCACAGCTACAATGTCCAACCAAAATTAACCGGAATAACGGAATTGGTACAAAAACAAAAAAATTTAGGACTAAATTGGCACAAATGCAAAATATTTAATACTTTTCTAACACTTTTCCCATTGCGTCGGGCATATGCCATACATGAAAAGTTATTGCATGCACTATGAGAAAGAAAGAGAGGGTGTCTTTGCATCATCTATCTCTGGTCATGATCAGTGACGCCTCAATATTAATGGTTCGAAAGGGACGTGAAATTTGTAGCTTGTGACTTGTGAGTGTTGTCTTCTGGTGATGAGGAAAGGAAGAGGACGTGAACCCAAGTGCCTATGGACTGTTAAACGGAACAAAGTTCCTGACTTAGCCAAGTAAAATCCAATTATACATCTGTCAAAGGGTAATTAGAATGGCTATGTTTATCTAAGGTTTTAGTTGAGCTCAATTATCACTACGATCTCATCTCGTAATCTTGATGTTTCATAGGACGGATGACAATGGCAACAGTGATGTTAAAACTAGCAGCTGACCCCTTAAGCAAATATTTGATGGTACGACTAGGGGTGTCAGAACCGAACAGAAAAATCGAACCGAGATACGAACCGAACCGAGCCAAACTGAAAATTTGGTACATTTTGGTTCGGTTCCATTTTTAGTTCGGATAACCATTTTTTTTTTTCAATTCGGTTTATTTCAGTTTAGTTCGATTCAGTTCGGATCGAACCGAACTGAAAAAGTAACTCTGGTTTTTACCCTAAAAGTGCGCCCCTCTCTCTCTGGCTCAAATCCCCTCTCCATCGTCAAGTTCCCGTTGGCCAGATTGCCGCTCAGCCTCGGCGCCGCCGCGATCCTCGCTGGCACCACCTCCACCGTCGCGTTCACACGCCGCCGCCCTCCCCACTGGGATCCTGCCCTCGCCGACGACCTCCCCGCCATACGATATCTCCGTTGCGGAGCCACTGTACCGGAAGGACGCGACTTTCAGGTTCTCGACAGAGACATCGACAAAGGCGGTGATGTTGGTGTCGGCAAGCGCCGTCCCGTTCGAGACTAGCTGGGCGAGCTGGGGGATCTGGGCCTGGTTCATTTGGACGAGCGGGTCCCTGACGTGGAAAACGGTGAAGAAAAGGGCGAGGGCGACGACGGCAAGGATGAGGAAGAGCGCGGCGGCAATGCCGCAGCACTTGAAGTAGCTCGACTGGCGGAGCCTGAAGTGAGCCAACTAGGCTTCGTCTTCGTTGCTGCGGATGGTGCGCTAGGCGGGCGCTAGGGGCCTGGCTTGCTCTTTCTCGGCCATGGACAATGGGAGTGGCTTGGGGGACTTCGTTGTGCGGGGAGTTGCCGGCCAGGTGTTTGTGGAAATGCTTGGCTGAAAAGTCTCTGAGCGTGGATATTGTGTGCAGAAAAAACCGAAAATCAAGCTGTGAGTGAAAAGCAAAAAGAAAAAAGAAGAAAAAATTGAAAACCGAACCGAACCAAACCAAACCAAATTGGTTCATAATCATCATCCATGGAGAATTTCCTTTCCAACACAACACTGAGTGATCAAAATCATGTGAAAATAACTAGTGATAAAACACTATTGGCATGAAACCACTATCATCATATAACCTTGGCATGTTAATATCTACTATATTATATTACCAAATATACACGTGTTACCTATAGGCAAAAACTTGACATTCAAAAAGTTAAACAAAATCATTCTATTATGACTTATTCGAATAATTAAAAAGTTATACGAATTTATGGTTGAAATTATGTTGGCTAACAATATCGACTAGAGAGGATAAATAGGTGATTTCAAAAAATCTTGGCAAAATAGTGCGGAATTGATAGGGCCAAGTTCAATAACAGAGTAGTCGGGTAAAATAGAATATGACTATAATCAAGTTCTGGTAATATTCAAGTAGTACTGTGCAATGTATCTATCAAGCGGTGATTGAGTATGAACAAAGAGATAGAAGACAATGCACACAACTTTTATAGTAGTTCGGCTTTAGTGTAAGCCTATATCCACTCTGTCACGCTAATACTCTTCTGACTGGATTCCACTAGTCAATCGTTGAGAAATTACAGTCGTAACAAAGCAGGTGCTACTTATAATTAAGCTATCTCAACCTAAGCACACACTTAAAATATTGCCGACACATCTCAAAAGATTACAAGTATGCTCACGGAAGACAAATGAAAATATGTGAAGCTCTCTCAAAATTTGAAATTGTGAACTCTTGATCTTGTATCCTCTTTGGTGCCTTGGTCTTCTTTAATACTCCTTATCTTCCAAACTTCCCACTGGACAATCTTTAAGAGGATCAATCTCCAATCTACCCATTGGACAATTGTTGAGAAGATTAGGTAGCCATCAATCAGAATTCCCATATATTTGGTCTCCCGTATAATCAAACTTTGGTTCCCAAAAATGGAGTGCTTCAGCAAAGGAAAGAATTTTTCCTTTGAGATTATTGTCAATGAACTAAGATATCTCGCACAATTCAATGTTTTGTGAGGACAATCTTTAAGATTGTTAATTAATCAAGATCTTTGAAAGAAGGTATCGATATCATATCTCAAGCTAGTGATAAAATATCTCAAATTATTAATCTTGTAAATTGGGACCAGAACTTTTATCGCAAGTAGTATAGGTATTCTACTAATATTCAGCTATCACAATACATATTCAACGCCTTGCTAATATCTAGCATTTTCCCTGGTGTTATCTGGCACTCGTCTTGCTGATATTCAGCACTCGCCTTGCTGATATTCACGCAATTACCTTGTTGATATCCACGCAATTCGTTGTTTCTGGCTTCTTGAATATGATCAAGTGTTTTAACCAATATATTTTGACAACAATAGTTATGTAGATATTGTAAACATAAAACCTTGACACTTCTAAGTTAATATGAACTGTCCATTCTTCTAAACTTATTCATGTAGGTTTTTCAGTCATAAAGAATCCTTCCGGTTTGAATATTACTTGTAACATAAACACTTTTTGCATTTATCAAGATCGATATAAATCATGGATAGTTTTGTCAACTTCAAAATATATTATGAGGTTTTCTCAATAAAAAAATATACAATACAAAGGAATTGTATAGCTATGTATGGAAAGATAAAAATATTTCGAGATTTGAATTCTTTTTAGGAATATTGTTATAGGATAAAAATTCAAGTTTTAACATTGGAAAAGGTGAGAAATATAATATGATTGTTAATCTTCGGGGCATCTTTTTCTGCCCATGAACTTAGCTTCAAAACGATTTGAGTGAAGAATACTCAATTCGGGTAGCTGTCCTTGTTAGAGATGGCAACATGCCATGCCCCTCCTTCTTTGGACCATTTCCTCTGTCTTTCTCTCTTGTGTACGTTAATATTAAGACAGGATAGCTACTAACATCATGGGAAAATCTTCCTTAAATATCTTTAATTTATTATCTTATAATAATAGTATTCATCGGAGAATGCGTACTCAAGCATTTCGTTATATAAAATCCGAATCTTTCGTGTTCTTTGCGTGCTAGACTTCCTCTCTCTTATTTCCACTTGAAATTCTGTCTCTGTGTTCTTGACTTTAGGGAATATTACAGCTTATATTCTTCACCCTCTTCCATCTCCTCCATATTTAACCCTTGGAGTGATGTCAATAGATACATGCTACTGTTTGATTGGAGCAGGCAGGAGATTAGGTCTTGGACAGAAAAATTACTTCATGTGAATATCACCTAATCTTATTATAAAAACGAAAAGATAATTACATGCTCCAATCTTATATTACTTAATACCCATGGGCAGTCAATACCCAAGATAGGTCATGATAAAGTTCTAGTATCAATGCAGCCGAAAAGG